CGGCGGCTCTGATCCTTCCGCTTGTCATCTCGGCCTCGTGCGATCACGAGTCGGTCGCGTTGCTTCTTGCGCTTCTCGCCGTGGATCCGACGATTGATTATCTGTTCCACCTTACTGATGTCTTCCAACTGCAAGGGGTACATCAAATCCATCACATCGTCATCACCACAATACAGCAAGAAGTGTTCGACATGGTCAGCTGCGTCGGCGCCACCCTTCTCGTACTGGATCTTGGCCGTCCGAGCATACCCGTTGAGTCGGATCAGGAAGTCGCAGATCGGTTCGTTGACTTTACGTCTCGCCGAGTAGTAACGAGTGCGGGCGGATTGGTCGAACTGTGAGCAATAATAATCCAGGAACGCCTCGCTGAGTAGTTTCCAACGTCGCTGAGGCTTCTTCGGCAGCTGCCTGTACCAACTCTTCGCCGGGCGTCCCAAGCATAGCGAGAAAGGCTCGCACCATGCACTTTGGGGCATCCTGGTGCTCTTCATCTCGTAGATGAAACGCTTGATCCACTGGAGCGACGCGTCAGAGCTGTAGCGCTTTCCTTCGAACTCGGCGATTTTGTCGAGCGAGGCGTGGGTTCGGACTTCGAGGTACTGCGTCGAGTCCTCTTCAGTCGCGTCAAAGCTCAAGTTTCGGATGTAGTCCTTCACGGTTTCTTCACGGCTACCTCTCACGTCGAAGGCGTCGTCGTCTTCTTCGTCCTCCTCGTAAGCCTCAGCCTCATCTGCAGCGTCATACAATTCACGGTAACGACCTACATTTCGCTGCCCACGACTCGGCGCTCGCTGAGTCGGGTTTAGCTTCAGTGGAGTCAGCATGTGAGAGTTTTCGAAGTACGGAGTTCCTTGCGTAGCGCGGAACACTTCACGTCTCTTCGTCTCCGGGGTCTTCGGCAAAGGAATCTTGCTCGGGTCCTCGCCGAGTGGTTTGAACTCGGCTACTCGGCTGTACACCTTCTTCGTTCCACCAGGGGCCTTCTTCAATCCAAACGCCACTCTCAGCTTCTTCTTCCATTGCCAGAGTTTGGCTCCGCCACGGGTCAGACTCCAGTCGGACAGGATGAGGCTGTTTGGTCGGCTGTTGCACCGATAGCCCATCGCCTTCAACAGCAACACAGTTTCTTCCACCAACTGGTTGATGTTGGCTGCACGCACCGGCTGAGTTAACTCGGGACCCAACATCGGCCACTTCGTCTGCGCCATCGCTACAGGCGCGAACATCATCATTTATTCCGATCTCGTTCTCATCTCCTCGCCGAGTCGAGCCAACACTTTATTGGCGCTCGGCGTATCGGCGTTCCTCGTCGCTTTCGGAATAAGGGGCGGACGGTCCCCTTGAGCAACGCCATGTTCTTCTTCATCTTCTTCATCGTCCGCACCTTCGTGGAGCTCGGCGGATAAGTTGCGCTCGACAGGACGTGGGGCTCCCATGCGTCCCACCTGCAGCGTCAACTCTTCCACCTCGCCAAGTAGCTCGGCGGTAGTCTTCGTTTCTCCGAGCTCAGCGGTCTCCTTCACTTGCATCTCCGTTCTCGCTCTCCTGGTCTTGGCCATCCTCGTCGAACTGGACGGCTCGTCCCACCTCCATCGTCATGGCGATGAGTCGTTGATCCGCCGGGTCCGACCCCGCGAGAGGCGATCCTCCAGCCGTCGCTGGGCTTCCGTCGCTCGGAGTTGCTGATCCCTTGACCATCTTCACTCTTCTCTTTCTCTTCTCTTCCTCTTAACTTGGTTAGCTGGCACCTATAAAAACAAGCACACACTCCTGTTCCCGGGTCGCGGCACCAGTTGTGGTCTAGTAGAACACACAAATATCGTCAGATGTGGATTCCTTACACAAACCACAACGAATCGCCGAGTTAGGTCGGCGGTTTGTATGGCCTGCGCAGAGGGTGGTCCCCTCGCGGTCCGGCCCTTCCGGGACAGACGAGTGGCTCGCTTCCACCCGGTTCCGACTAACCAAGTCAGATCACTTCCGAGGCTCCGCCAAGTTTGGTTCGGCTGAGCTCGTTCACAACCCTGTGCCCTCCACCAAAGGATGGACGACGGCGCGCGAGCGCTTTTACAGGTCACCGAGCGCAGAGGCAGCTCAGCTAGAAGTGTTACGGCACCCGGGCTATCCGACGTACCGGCCCGCTGAGTATGCGGGACTTTCTTTCGCGCGTAGCGAGACTTTGTCCTACCCGGACCGACCTAATCTCTTGGCGCTACCAGTCAATACCCTACAAGCTATGCCTCTCGAGTATTGACGGCAGGCATAATCCAGCCCTATGCAGGGACTTACCGGAAAAGTGTACACGTGTCTTGGACTAGGAAAATTCTGCTCTGTTATCTTCTGGGAGCCCTTTCGGCTCCCCCTATTTAATCCTATGCTTCTCATACAAATATCTAATGAAATGTAGTCGTTTCGGATCTCTACCGACCCTTCAGCTGAGTTCCGGCGACCGTTGAGCTCAGCGGCTGTCCGGATAGCAGATCCGGACAGATCGCCGAGTACTTACCGTGATCCTTGGCTCCTAAGCTCTGGGTTATCAGACCGAGCCGATTCTTAACCTAAAGTAGGTCGGCGTATGGTCGAATCTGGAAATCCCTACACCACACTCGCTATCAATATGTCCCGGATATGAGTCAAAATCTTGCTCAGCACGGCGAGTATCAGCCAATATGCCTACTTTTGCAAATCCACTAACAATTGTCTTTTCTGAAAGCTCGTTCCAGCATTTTGATATCCACTCCGTAATGTCTTCTCTTTTTGGGGGCTCCAAATTAAAGGGCTCTTCTGTATGCTGTTTCCGAAGTCGCTCAACTTCAGACTCTGCTTCCTCTTGCACTAGATCCTTGCGCACACGAATAATATCTCTCTGGAGTTTGTCCCTTTTCTCCTGGCGCTGCTTCTCCTTGGCTCGATACGCAACAAGTTGGTCTCTCAGCCGGTTGATCCACAGACCTCGCAACCTAGTTTTTAGGGGGTTATTCCACGAAATATCTGCCAATTGGCATACGTACGTGTAACGCGGCGGTACTTTAAGTAGGATAACGTTAATAGACGCTGCATATTCTTCAACTTCAGGGGTCCAATGCCCGCTGAAATCGTCCCATATGAGTAAATCTCGGTTCGTGCGCTCAGCAAAGTGATATTTGAGAAATCTCAGAGACAAATCAGAATTCCACCATGCGCACTGGTTCCCGTAAATTTGACAATTGTAGCGCTCTTGAAGTGGATTAATTTCACGGGTCCACATAGTCGGGCTAAACCCATGGCGCAGAGTGTGGTTCTCTTCCCTTTTTTCCTTAATTTTTGACGGTTGACACTTGAACACTATGAATGGAGCCAATTTTGTGCCTTCCCAGTCCGCCAAAAGCATAGCTGTAGCTCGAGCCTTCTCTTTATTTGCACATTTTACCCAAACAGTTTTCACTCCACGTTGGGATATGGTTTGTTTTGGTAAATACTCAAAATTCACACCTACAAGAAGAAAAGTCATTAAAAATATTTTAAAACTAAAATAAAAAAAAATATTACCCGTCTGATCAGCATTGTATACTTGTACACACTTCTTTTCGACGATTGTCTGCAGCACCAGCGCTCGAAATGTCGTAGCTGCATCTTGAGCATCCTGTGGCGTCGTCTGTCCCTGCCTGGTACGTGCACGGAGCGCTAATTTATGGCGACGAAGAAATAGCTTAACCCATGTTGATGTGGCTGCAAATTTGCCTTCAAGGCCAATGTCTGCAGCTGCTTCTTTTGCCTGCAGTTGAAGCATGAGACGGGAGACAGGGGCACCATCTTTCCGCAGCGAATTCACCCACACTACGATAGCGCGTTCAGCCTCCTTGGTGAGCACAGTCGCTTCACCAAGTCCGCGCAGATTTCGGTGGCACCCCCGCCCAGAATCACATGCAGCACGTATAGTTGGAGCCTGCTTGCTCCACTTGTGAATTTGTTTTTTCTTAGCACGAATGTCGGAGCCACTTAAGTCGCCGTAGAACTGTGAAACTGTCTCGTCAATGTAGTCGAGGACGTCTCATTTATGCGCAAACTCTACTGCCCTACGTTGATAGGTCTTCTGCTTCTTTCCTGGTCCATTGATACGAGGGCGAACCATACTTTTCGACGGCCTTCCGTTTTCTTTGTGGTGTTGGGCTCCGTTCTTTTAGCTTCCGCCTAAGTAAAATTAGAATGAACCTTATCGTAAGTAATGGAGCCATCTGTATTACAATCGAAGGATCCGATTGGTTGGTTCGTTAATGACCCTTAGGAGTAAACGTTCCCTAGGACTACGATAATTCGGTATACCTAACTTGAAATTGAAATTGAATACAGTCTGTCGACTGCTAATTTTGGAGTTGGCAGCTACGCGGTTGCTGTAATCGCTCGGAAGGAAGAGCACTCGGCCCGTCTCGACGCCTGCGGCATTGAATACCTCTTCTCCCTACCCCCCTATCCAGAGGCTTCGTTGGTGGTGCGCAGCGAGTGGCTGACATAGGCCTCGAGCATGCAACGTGGTTGACGATTGCCGCCAGCTGGGAAGTCTCTCATAAAACCTGTAGGATTTAATACTATGAAAGCGATCAGGGCATCGTCCTCTACGTCACGATATCGACAAATAAGACACGCGCCAAGACACAAGGCGCTATCCGTGTCATACTCTTTTGATAAAGGTGGCAAAGTTATTTGCATCCTGTGCTTATAAAGCAGATTTGCATAGCTGTTGCTCCCTAACTAAGGCAACAATCTTTTGCCAGCTCTAAGTTGAAGTGGACCGGGGTAGGGTATTAATTTGTCTGTCAGATAAGTTCGCGTACTTTGTCAGAGCATGGAGACCTTGGTCTTTGTAAGGCATACTTACATCCCAGCTTTTTGATTTCTTAAAGTTTGTAGGCCTCGTCTCGGCCTCCCCAATTGGTTGAACAATCGCACTTTACCGAGCTTAAGTCCGAACTTGGCACGCTTTTTCGCATGCGAACATAGGCTTCATTATCCATTTCGACCACCACAGCTCAAGTCTCAAGCCAGTCTCCGCAGCAATGAAGGCCGTCACCAGCATGCAGAAGCTCCGTCCTGCCGCCTCCAAACTACGCAATCAGTCAACACGCAACGTGTGGACCGCCCAGCAGGTAAGCACGCGTCTCCTTCTCTTGCTCATCAAGCTGTGTGCACTTTAATAACGGATACTGTTTCAGTACATTGACCGCGAAGAAAAGTGTGGCGCGCACAACTACCACCCGCTGCCTGTGGTGCTAAACAAAGGCCGTGGGTGCAAGGTCTGGGACGTGGAAGGCAAGGAATACTACGACTTCCTGAGCGCTTACTCGGCCGTAAACCAGGGTCACTGCCACCCCAAGCTCGTCAAGGCTTTGACGGAGCAGGCGCAGACGCTCACTCTGACCTCTCGCGCCTTCTACAACGATGTATTGGGTGAGTACCAAGAGTACATGACCAACCTCCTGGGCTTCGACCGTATTCTACCCATGAACACGGGCGTGGAAGGCGGTGAGACAGCTGTCAAGCTCGCCCGTCGCTGGGCCTACGACGTTAAGGGCGTCCCTGAGAACCAGGCCAAGGTCATCTTCGCTAAGAACAACTTCTGGGGTCGTACATTGAGCGCTGTGTCGGCTTCTAATGACAAGGAGGCCTACGGAGGCTACGGACCTTTCATGCCTGGCTTCGCTAGCATCCCGTACAACGATGCTGATGCACTTGAAGAGGTTTTCAAGAAGGAGGGCAAGAACATCGCTGCCTTCATGGTGGAGCCCATCCAGGGCGAGGCTGGTGTCGTTGTGCCTGACGATGGATACCTCAAGCGTGTACGTGACTTGTGTACAAAGTACAACGTGCTGTGGATCGCCGATGAGGTGCAGACTGGACTGGCACGTACCGGTAAGATGCTGGCAGTGGACTACGAAGGCGTCAAGCCCGACATCGTGATTCTGGGCAAGGCTCTTTCTGGTGGCATGTATCCTGTCTCGGCTGTGTTGACGAGCCACGAGGTCATGCTCACGATCAAGCCTGGTCAGCACGGCTCCACGTACGGCGGCAATCCACTGGGCTGTAAGGTGGCTATGGCGGCTATGCAGGTGATTCAGGAGGAAAAACTGGCTGAAAATGCATTCAAGCTCGGCAACAAGTTTCGCAGCGAGATGCAGAAGTACGTGGCTTTGTATGATCTGCTCGATATCAATTTTTACAGGTCGCTTACACTTTTGATTGCACCCACAGCTTCCAATCGAGTTTGCTTCAAGGTGTGCGTGGTCGTGGTCTGCTGAACGCGATCATCATCAATGAGCATCCAAACCAGCCGGACGCGCTGCAGCTCTGCATGAACTTGGTCAAGAAGGGGCTTCTGGCCAAGCCCACGCACGGCAACATCATCCGACTGGCACCTCCACTTGTCATGACCGAGAAGCAGCTTGACGAGTGCACATCGATCATCAAGGAGGTGCTCACGGAAGCCGAGAAGTAAACGGAACTTGATTACCAGGCGCACTCCAACATCCTTGTGGCGACAGACAGGCTACACAGGCTAGACCCTTTGATTTTTTTAATACAAATATTTTCGAACACAAATAACGAAACTTTTGCAACTCGGTATAAACAATTGTAAAAATGTTTTGTCAATAAATGCCGCTTGCTCCCTACTACTGCACGCAGCAAGGCGTGGTGATGCTGATACGTCCTTGCCGTTTTACCTCGTTTCTTAGGCTCTAGCTTTGCTCCGCATTGAGTCGATCCCGAGGCGGGTTCATCTTCTGGATCTTCACCATCGGATCACGGCGCAACGCACTGCGATAACAAACATGCTGAGTGAGCCACAACCTAAACCAATATGAAATACTGCTAAGCTAAGCTCGTACCTGAGATCATTGGGAGTCACGAAGATAAACTGCTTCTTGCCGTCCTTCTTGGCCGCTCTCACGAGTAGCTGGATGGTCATGTCTCTGTTGACTGCGTCCATGAAGACATCGAACTCGTCCATCACTCGGAACGGACACTCGATACTCTCGCCGAGAGCTAGCAGCAGTGACACTTGCGTGTAGGACCGCTCGCCTCCCGACAGCTCCTTCATATCTGTCACCTGCGACGCTCGGGAGGCGCCCGCTTCGTTCTGCAGCACAGCGATTTCGAGTCGCTGGTCGTCATGCCGGAACCTGAGCTTGCCTGCGAAGTTGTTCAGACCCATGTACCTGTTGAACCCCATGGACGTCCGATGAGCGATCTCCTTGCGTAAAATCTGCCACACGCGCTTGCGTTCCTCCAACATTGTGCGAATACGCTCCAGATTGTCCCTGAACTTGTCGAAGTTCTTCTTCTTGTTGCGATACTTGAGTTTCTTCGACTCCAAATCATCTCTCAGTTCCGCGAGATCCATGCCTTGGAACCGGCGACGTTCGCGATCGATCTGGCGCTTGATGTCTGTTAGCCGCTTGCCATAGTAATCATGTGAGTGTCGGACAGCGACTCGCTCACAATGCTGCTGTGCCTTCTGTCTCTGCTCCTCACATTCTTCTTGGATAACAGCCAGCTCGTCCTCCCACTGCACCACCATCTCACGTAATGCTGCTGCTTCTTTCTGGTACGTCATCTCCTGCACCTTCATCTCGCTAAGATGCTTGTAAATTGCGTCAGCATCCTCCTGGAACTCGTTCATTTCGGCCGCAACCTTCTTCTCCATCGCGTCCAGTTCTTCCAATTCATGCAGCTGGCCCTCCAAATCTGGATTCGACTTGGATAAAACCTCATTCAGCTCCTGCTCTCGACGACGGAAATCCTCCAGTTCGTCCTGAACAGACCTGACCTCGTCCTCCAGCACCGACGTATCCAGAGTGTTCTGCTGCATGTCGTCTGACAATTCCTCCTCCAGGTTGCGCAGCTCTGCTCGTTTCTGGTTGAATCGACGCGACAAGTAGTCAATACGGTCATTCTGCTGCTTCATCTGATGTCGAAAGTCCTCACGATTGCGTCTCAGTCGCGCCTCATCGCGACGTAGCACCTCCTGATTGCCCTTCAAGTAGTCCATCTTCTTCTCCAGCTCCGTGATCTCGCCCTCAACGTCTTGGCAGATGATGGAGCTGCGTCGATTCCCCTTGTTGGCGATGAACGCCAAATTACCGGAACGAACAACGAACTTGTCTCCGTTCGGCAGATACACCTCCGACACGTAGCGAGCCATTCTGAAGTTACCACTGGAGCCACTGAGCACGCTTTGCTCCGCCGACTGACGATCGTCAAACAGCAATTTGCTCTCCGAGCTGCAGACATCCACCAAAGCGTTGAAAACCTCGTCGTCGTTCACCTCGAGGATGTTGCAGATCGCGTGAGCTGCCAATTTCCCCTCTCCAAGACGCAGGTTACTGTACCGACGTCCACTGCGCTGCGATATGATAATGTTAGCTTGGTTATGCGGACAATGGGCTTGGCGCTTGAGATCATCCAGCAGCGCTTTGTCTCGGCCATTCACCACCAAGTAGCTTCCTAGCGTGCCCTTCAACGCCACCTCGATAGCCACAGCAAAGTGCATGAACCTTTCAGGAAGCTTCACATGGAGACCTAGAGGTCCAATGGGAGGCTCGGAGAAGCGGTGGCGATTCTGGTGAATGAGCTGTTGCAACTGCGGAATCTTGCTGCCATACACCGCCAGACTATCGCGCTTTTGACTCCGTAGCTGATTCATGCGGTGCTGGGTCTTAGCAGACTCCGCGTCGGCCTCACGCAACTGACGGACGCAATTATCGTGACGATTCTCCACTTCGTCCAGTTCCTGGGGACGCGCCTGTGCTCGATCCTTGGCTTCGTTGACCTCCTGCTCTGCATTGTTCACCTCTCCGCGCTTCATCTCGATACGTTCACGCATCTCATCGTTGCGTTGCAGACGGTTGTGCAGCATGGCTTCGTGGTTCTCGCGCTTCTTCTGCAAATCATGTTGCAAACGTGAAAGTCGCTGGTTGGCGCGCTGTTTGGACTGCGTCAGGTGCTTCAGCTCCGCCTTGCAGTTGTGCAACGGCCGACGAGCTTCACGGATCCGGTTCTTCACCTCGGTCTTCCGTTGGCTGTTTTCGCTCATTCGAGCGTTGACTTCCTCGAGTTTGTCGTTCTTCTCCTTCTGCTTCCGTTCCAGATTGTCCACCGCCTCCTTTGTCTCTTCGTACTCCCCAGCAGCATGTTCCGCATCACGTTTCTTCCGCTTCATCTTCTTCTCCATCTTCGCAGCCATGTTCTCCTTCTCGGCCACAAACGACCACGCCAGCTCCTTCTTCAGCACCTCAAACTCTTCCTCCAGCTTCCCAATCTGTCAGAAACACCACAACTATAAGCACGCCGCTCACTGACAACACCCCTTTGCAACCATTTAATCACTCACACTCTGGGCCTCCTTCCACTGCTTCTTGGCCTCCTCCATGACCTCCTTCAACGTGGAGATCTTGGCTCGCTCTCTCTTCAGCGTCGTCTCCGCGATGTTCCTCGTCTCCTCGTCAATCTTCGAGTACGTCGTCCTCATCTTATACAGATCTGTGGACTGCAGAAAGAACTTGTACTTGTCCTGTGGATTGCCCTTCAGGAACAGCTTGGCGTTCTCCTGATCCAGAATGGCGCACGGGTTCTCCGTCTGGATGTTCAGGTGATCCAGCATCGCGTCCAAGTCCGTTTTCAGCTTGGACACCAGCACACCCGTCTCGTCCTTGAGTCGGTACTCGGCGGATCCGTCTCGACGGATGAGTCTCTCGACCTGAATCTTACGCCCGAACTGATCGGGACGGAAGGCGTCGCTGCCCTTCGCGTCGTTCCTCAGTGTGATCCGCACCAGCGCGTTGCCTTCGTGGCCGTGGCGGATGAGGTTCTTGATGCTCTTGCCTCGATGAGTGCTGCGTGCACTAGCGCCCAGACAGATCTGGATAGCGGCGATGATGGCGCTCTTGCCGCTGCCGTTTTCGCCTGTGATGAAGTTAATGTGCGGACACAAGGAGACGCGCAACTTGCGGTGGCACATGAAGTTCTCGCAGTAGATTTCTTCCACGACGCCCATCTCCGTCTTGATGTGGGCGTCCATTTGGGACAGCTGCGTGGACGAAGACTTCATGCGTCGCTTGCCGCCTACAGCCACGACGTCGTCTGCGTAGTCTTCCTCGTTGTCCGCGATTAAAGTGTCCATTTCGTCCTCAGTCTCGCTGGTCGTAGAGGCTTCCGTGTCATTTTGCCGCGTCTTCTGCGCCTTGGCACGCGGTCGACGGCTCGTTAGTAGCGCCATGGCAGCGCCTAGATGATGCGGTGCGTTCTGCGCAACAAGAAGGTGCGGGTAGAGAGGTAGAGGGCCCGAGGCGGGCCACGGCTAGCGCGAATGCGGGCTCAACGTGTTGCTTTTTGTGATGGCGGGATGGCGCCAAAACGAGACAACACTTTGCTCTTTATAGTCATATCAAAAATTATGGTTCATTTAAAGACGAGTACTATTTGGGTAATGAAAACAGAAAGATGTCTTATTCAATTGATACCCCCTACAAGTAATGTAATAGATTACTCAAACTAGAAATACTATAAAGTTTGAAAGCTCAAAACAATCGTTCAAGAGTATCGGATACCTGTGTTGTACTGTAGGAGACGACTGCCGCGAGAAGCAAAACTACTGTACAGTTTTACCGCGTTAGATCACTCATTGTTGCTCCTACAAACACTCAAAACGAATGTACAGTTAATCACATTTGCACGCACTGCCTGGCTCGGTCGGCATCAAGATCCTGAGCAACAAACAGCAATTCATGTTTGTCCATACAGAGCGTATGCCACTCCCTCATTCGCCAGCCAAAACGGCCCGGTCTCTCGGAGGGTCCAACTTCTGGATCTTCACCTTCGGATCCGGTCTCAGTGTACTACAGAGTCGATCAACCACCCAAACTGTTAAGCTTTAGCGAACACAACATCATCAAATTTACTTATGTACCTCAAATCATTGGGGGTGACAAAGACAAACTGCTTCCTGCAGTTCTTCTTGGCAGCTTCCACGAGGAGGTCGACAGTCATGCTTCGGTTCTGCGAGTCCATGAACACGTCGAACTCGTCCATAATTCGAAACGGACACTCGGAACTGCTTCCTAAAGCGAGAAGTAGCGACACTTGAGTGAACGAGCGCTCTCCACCAGAAAGCCCCTTCATGTCGGTCATCTGCGACGAGCTCGTCGCTCCTTTCTCGTTTCGCAGCACCCCGATCTCCAAGCGATGGTGGCGGTGATAAAAACGCAATTTGCCAGCAAAGTTGCTTAGCTGCATGCACTTGTCGAACTCCGCAGATGTACGTTTCGAGATTGCCCTGCGGAAGCGCGTCCAGGTGTCCACGCGCTTCTCCAACATGGAGCGGATACACTGCAGGTTTCCTCGTACCTTGTCAAAACTGCTTTTCTTTTCTCGGTACTTCGCCCCCTGCAAGTCCAACTCAGCCTTGAGCTCACTCAGGCTCAGACCGTGTACATTCTTCTGCACCTGTTCACGTTGACGCTCGACCGTCTTGATGCGTTTGCTGCAATATGCTGGTGAATGGACTTCTGCAGGTTTCCCCCCTAACTTCAACGCCACTTTGGCTTGTTCATCGGATTCGTCACGAGTCGCGATCAGCTGCTGCTCCAGCTCCTTCACAGCCGCTCGAGCTGTTTCGAGTTCATTCTGTCCCGTTATTTCGTCGACTTTCGCTTCACGCAGTCGCTTGTAGACGGCATCGGCGTCAGCGTGGCGCTCGGTCATCTCGGTAGCAATCTCTTTCTCTGCCGTTTCCAGCTTGTCCATCGTATCCAAAGAGTCTTGCAGGGTCCGATCTGATGCAATAGTTTTGTTTAAATCCTGCTCCCGTTGTTGAAAGTCCGCTAGCTCGTCCTCTGTAGCCTTGCTCTCGCCTTCCAACACCGTCGTGTCCATAGTGTTATCCTGCAAAACATCGGCCATCTCCTCGTCCAGACAGCGTAGCTGTACGCGTTGCTGGTTCAACCGGCGTGACAAATAATTAATTCGATCAGTTTCTTGCTTAATATCGTAGCCCAACTCGTTCTTGTCGTGGCTCAGTACAGCTTCATCGCGACGCAGTTCATCTTTCTTTCTCTCCAGATAGTCTACCTTGTACTTGATCTCGTCGATACAACATTCTGACTAATTATATAGCCATGCCGGTCTCTCTTGTTCGTAATATACGCCAAATTACCAGAGCGTACCAGGAATTTGTCGCCCGTAGGAAGAAAGACTTGAGCCACATGCGGTACCATTCTGAAGGCACCACTAGGACCTGTTAAAACGCGACTCTCCGCTGCTTCTCGATCGTCAAAGAGTAGTTGGTTTTCCAAGCCACAAGTATCAATGAGAGCGTTGAAAACTTCATCATCGCTAACTTGCAAAACGTTGCACATCGCATGATCAGCAAGATCACCGTAGGGCAGCTCCAAATTTCTGTACCGGTGGCCTGTTCGCGCCGAGATGATCGTGTTGGCCTCTGCGGGGGTGCAATGAGCCTGTTGTCTGAGCTGATCCATTAAAGCCTTATCTTGGCCGTTAACGACGAGATAGTTTCTCAGCACAGTTCCAGCTGCTACCTCGATGGCCGCTTGGAATCGCCTGGCAACGTGACATACATTCCCAAAGGTCCAATCGGTGGAAAAGTGAATTGATGCAGGTTTTCCTTTATCAGTTGCTGCAGGTGCTCAGAATTCCGACCAAAAGCCGAAATTCGATTTTGCTTCTGCTGATTCAGAGAGTTTAAACGCCTTGTTGCCCTTTCAGCATCATGGCAAAGCTGCTGAAGCTGGGTCTTGCAGTTATCGTGTCGATCTTCGAGCTCTCTAAGCATTTTAGTTTGTGCAAGCGCGTGCGCCTCAGCACCGCCGAGATCTCTCTCTGTCTGCATTACTGCCTGTTGCATACGATCTCGCAAGTCCTGATTACTTTCAGTGAGACTTTTAAGTAGAGCAGTGTGCCGTTCGCGCTTCCGTTGCAGGTCACGTTGCACCCGACTAAGTTGCTGCTTCGCACGATCCTTGGACCGAGCCAACCGACTCAGTTCGGCTTTGTACTGCTGCAACGGGCGGCGGGCTTCTCGAATTTTAGCTTTCACAGTCATTTTTTGTCGATAGTTTTCACTCATTCGCGCACTGGCGTCCTCAAGCTGGAAGTTGGCCTCCTTTTGGCTTTGCTCCAGTTTTTCCACCTCCCTCTTTGACTCGGAAAGCTTTTCACCTATACCCACTGTATCGCGCTGCTTCTGCATCAGCTTATTATCCGAGTCTGCCGCGACTGCATCTTTGTCACCCACGATCGACCATGCTAGCTCCGTCTTCAGCATCTTTAGCTCGCCTTCCAGTTTCCCAATCTGTAATAACAACGATGAAATCCACAAATACTGTAAAGTTGTGCTCACTGGCAATACTATACAAGCGAAATAGCAACTCACGCTTTGTGCTTCCTGCCATTGCTTCTTGGTCTTGTTCTTCGCGTCTCGCAGCGTCACGATCTTGGCCAGTTCTGGTTTCAGTGTCGACTCAGCGATCATGCGAGTTGTCTCGTCGATACGCGTGTACGTCGCTCTCATCTTGGCCAGATCCGTGGCTGGAGGAAAAATTTGTACTTGTCCTGCGACGTGCCCTTCAAGAACAACTTGGCGTTGTCTTGGTCCAGAACGGCGCACGGGTTGTCCGTTTGAATGTTCAGGTGATCCATCATCGCTTCCAATTCGCTCTTAAGCTTGGACACCAGCATCCCCTTTTCACTCTTCAGTCTATACTCTGCTGATCCGTCTCTGCGAATGAGTCTCTCCACGATGATCTTCTTGCCATACTTGTCTGCCTGAAAGGCGTCACTACCGGCACCGTCATCATTGCGAAGCGTGACGCGGACGAAGGCATTACCGTCACACCCGTGCCTGATGAATGACTTGATGTTCTTGCCACGGTGCGTCGTACGTGCACTGGCACCGAAACAAATCTGGATGGCAGCAATGATGGCACTCTTGCCACTGCCATTTTCACCCGTTATGAAGTTGATGTGGGGGCTCAGTGTCACCCGCAGTTTGCGGTGGCACATGAAGTTCTCGCAGTAGATCTCCTCAATCACACCCATTTCTGGCGTGGCACTGGATCCAGTTGGTGGAGCAGCGTTGGCGTCGGACCCTGCTGCTGCGATCACTGCGGCAGCTCGCCCGTCGAACCGTGTCACCTCCGTTTGAGTTTCTGAAAGCACTTGAGCTGCATTTGCTGGAGTGATTGGAAATGCACCATGGAGCGTTGACGACGCAGCCAAACTGCGCCACGTTTTCTGCTTCTTTGGTGCCGGTTGTCGCGCCATCAGAAGTTCTCAAATGACCAGCGTCAAGGTAGAGAACTGCAAGGCCAATGAGAAGCGACGTACGTCGTAGTAGAGTGCAGCTAACTGCCATGAATTCATCTTGAGTTTTACGTGTTCATATGATGGCATTGAGCGGTAAGAGATCCCTGTCCCGGGTTGCAATGACTTTCGAAACTCTCGTTAGTGAGAGACGAAAAAATGGTAGCCTTTTATTTTTAGTGGCGTTGAGAACTGTTCTCAGGCTGGGATCAATTTCAATAGAAGAAGGATCAATGGCAAGCGCAGGGCGATGGTATGAAAACAACTCCAATAAACACCTTTACCATTCGTATGTATGCATCACTTATTTGTATGGATGTTCAAGTCGCCGGTGTGTTTTGTGTCAGCAGCTCTATGGGTCTGGACTCGTTGACAATGTCCCTGCTGCGGTAAGTCCACAAGTCGTTCAACCGTAAAGTTATTGTACTATATCATCTTACGACGTTTTCGTGAACAATGGCAGGAAGTGCTGCGTGCTCGACGAATGCTAATGGAGTGTAGTACCGAAGACGGTGGACGAACGAGCCGCTTGATCCGTGAAGGATTCGATCACTTTCTAGCGGATCTCACACGTGAACGGGATGCACTTGGCCAACGCACCATGCCATTGGATGTTTGCGTCTTCTGCGTGCAGTTCCTGCCTTCCTCATACCCTATTAGCGGTGACTCTGAAGAGGAACAGAGCACTCACAGCACCACGAATTACTGTGTGAGAGCAACCACACATTCTTCGCGTATAGCAGCTCGTTGCAGTAGTGGAGGCCAGACGAGTTCAAGCCTCGTGATTCAGCACCAGTTTCCTCCACGAACGGCTCGAGCGATCCGACGTCGAAGCTGTTCGCCAAATGCTTCAGTGTCACCTCGACCTACTCCGACGTATCGCTTGTTGTCGAATGACGCCACGCGCGTGCTGCGTATCGAATTGCCAGCAGCAGCGCTGAACTCGATAGGGCATAGATATGACCAGCACCACCGCCTACTAACAGGCAACGACGACGTCATGAGGAGTCTTCAAGCTCGAGAAAAACAACAAGCGGCAATTTTTTTTAGCGCTAAAAATCGGCAACGCGTATCAACAGCGAAGCGAAATACCCATGGGCGCAGCGAATGTATGACGGCTGGATCAGTTAATCCTGAAGCACCGCCGCATCAAAATATTATCGACAGCCTCATCCACGGCGCGGGGACGTTGTATACGGGCGTTATTATGGCTAAGCAGGAATATAACCCCTTAGTCCCTGCACCTCGACCGAGCGTCACCGCGAAAGGTTCCAAGATCGTAACCAAAAAGCACGGTCGCCACTTTAAAACAGGGTAACCAATTTTACTGGTCAAATTTGACACTTGGTCACACGTAAAAAAAACGATTGGTCACGTGACCAAAAGTTAGTTGGTCACGTTCAAAAGACTTGCCGTCCTCGCAAACAGCAACGCAGGAGGGACACGCTGACGTTGGAGAGAAGCGTGAACTAGCTGTCAGTAGTGGCGACGATGGAGCGAGTCAGCATCCGCCACACATTACGTTCTACAGGTCTGTGTTTCTCCTTTCTCTCTCTTGAAACTTTGTCCTAACTGCACCATTTATATATAAAATCGCTCAGGTTAACCGTGGCACTACTTGTGGACCTAAACTACTGGTGCTGATCATTGTAGTCATCTTTGAGGCAACCAGGAATACACTGAGGAAATGCTCCAACAGCGTGCTGTCGGCCTGGTGTTCAAATGACGGTGACAGACGGCTTTTACAGCGATTCTTTTTGTATATAGATACATACGCGTTCATGTGTCTCCCAGCTGAGCTCAACAACTTCAAATAACTGTTGCTGGGGGCCGTAAATGACGAAATGCGCATGAGGATTCTTAAGCTCCGGTACATGTATGTAGTGTTATCAGTGATATTCAAGTCAGTGCCTGTTCATGTAAGTATTTTTCTTGTGTTCTATTTACCATACTGCGTACCCATTAGACTACACCCTCGTACTCGAACGAGTTATCTTGCTCATAGTCCGCATCCGCCTCTTCCAAGACAGCATTTTCTTCGCTTGTAGAAGACACGTCAGTGCTGTAAGGATCCGAATTCACATCGACGTCGTCTACTTGACCTTCACTATCGCTGCTCGAAGCGGAGTCTTCAATGGCAGCCACACTGGGTAATCTGGGGGCTCTTGGCAACTCAAATCGAACTCGTACTGGTGGAACAGCAATTCCTGATATGATTGCATTACGTTGCAGAACGTACTCACGAGCTAGAATCTCCAGAGTAGTGGCAAATTGCTTCATTGACGGATGAGGCCTGAATCTCTTGTTAAGCTCACGATGGAACCGCTCTAATGGATTGTTGGTTCGACTTACAATATCCCGGTTGATTCCGTATACGTTCCAGAACGTTGGGGGAAATGTATCCATCCAGGTACGCTGGAAATATGCCCAAAAAATTCTCCATTTTTGTCGAGAGTAGACTAACTGCTTGGTCTCACAAGTTTTTCGTATTTTAGCCTTTACCCACGCGATTCCTTGCACTGCAATTTTGCTGGGGTCAATGACGGTCAGTACGGCGAACACGCTTGGAGACATAGCCACCTTCGCCTCGAGCTTTGGTATCCCATATCGCTTTAGCTTGCGGCTGCAGGCCTGTTTAAAGTGAAATAAACAGCCAATGATGCGGATATCAGGGAAGAACGCACACATCGCTCCGATGAGAGCGCCCTCAAAGTCGCATACAACGTCCTTCGGAACGAGTTTACTACCAACAGAATCTTGAACGCACTGTAGCAGTTTCAGGTACGATTTTTTTGTCATGGACGTAGTGAGCACATGCACGACAGGAACGTAGAGCTTACTCGATTGGTCATAGACCATAATCGTGACGCATTGCTTGTAGTGGTTAGGAGCACAGCGGAAAGTGCCGTCGATGTACCACGACAAATTCTCGAAGCACAGCAAACTTAACAGCGCGGGATGACCCCACCCAATTATTCTGTCGATACCGACAGGGTCTTTCTGCGCCTTGATGGCATCATGCCATGAATACTGGAACTGAAAGAAACCCCGATGGCTACCTTTCACCTTCGACAGGGGTGGTTTCTCTATTAAGCTGGTAGGACCACCGGCACGTGTTCTACGTGCATTTTGAACGCGATTTTCAACGACTTGTTTTGACACTCCACGAACAGGGGGTCCATCTAGCATGTAAAACTTTTGTACAATACCTGTCCAAATTTCCTTTTGTGTCATAGTCGTTTTGGCGGCCAGTTTGTCGACTTCATCCATTACAGCCTCTGAAACGTCGATGCAGTGATCACCGGATCCTGTCTCGGATCCAACAAGACCGAGAATAGCTCGACAGGTATGTGGCTCCATATTCCCGAAGTCAAACGACGCTGAGTCTGCATAGTAAGCAAACTGGGCCCGACAATTTTTACGGTATGAGCTACAACGGTAGGTTATCTTGACAACAGTTGCATTTGCGCGCGTGAAGGCATAGCCCTGGTAATACACCTTGGTACGTCCGTCGCGTGGCTTGGATACTACCTGCGAGCGTACTGAGCTTGCTGTTGATTGTGGGAGCTCAGTAGTAGTGGGGCTGAGGCTACGTGGAGATTGAGTATGCGGCGAACTAGTCGGATTTGCTGAGGATGACGTCGGAGGCTGAGTCGACATCGACTCTATAGTAAGCGATGGCGACGGCGATTCTTGTGCTTCTCCTCTTATGGACGTTGCTGGCAGAGTAGAGGCTACGTCACTGCTGTGCATGGATGTATCTGTTACTGCTACGTCAGACGTGGAGGTACCCCGATAAGGCCGTGATGGACGAGAAGTCGGCGAGAACCTTGTCCTCCCACGACGACGCGATGATTCGACAAGTGACGTATTGAGAGGTGAAGGTGAGTTTGCACCTCTGGGCGGTCTGCGGCGAGTCATCGAGATGTTGTTATAGTCGCTGTCTTTTGCGAGAGTGGGGACGGCCTGCCTTTGAGTCCGGGTGTGCCTCTTCGGGAGAGTCGGAATGGTTTCAAAACTGCCATGAATGACGATTGCTGCTATTACTGCGTGACCTAGTTAAATTGGTCACGTGACCTACGTTTAGCAAGTGTGACCTATTCATCACATATGGGTGTGACCAAGTGTCAAATTTGACCTGTTTTATGGGCTTCGTAAAACAGAGCTCATCTTTCCAGCAATCCCAGTCAACACTCGAGCAGCCGCCAAGAAATAGTAGAGCACGTTTTTTTAATTGTTGGAAATGCGAGAAGCAAGTGAGCGTCACAGGCTTGGCATCACACCTGAAAACCCTTGTCAAAGAGCCTTGTCTGGTACGTTAACTGACATCCTTGGCTTAAGCCACAGAAGCTTTACCCGACCTTGAACACTTGTACTGCGGAAAGTCAGGACGGAATTGGATGAAGCAAGCATGCTACATAATAAAATCAGCGCACGCCGACACAATCGATAGAACATCCTCTCTGAAATTGCAAAATTGTTGGGCTTTCTAAATTGATACGATATACTAAGTATTTTGCATTTCCTACAGACCGAGCCATCCTTGATCACTGAAGAAGAAGCCGATCGTTGAGCCTGCCGACAGACCAAAGAACAGGCAGAGTGCCATCACGGCCACCGCCCGACTCGCGGTCCTCAGGTTTCAGCATCCGCGGCGCAACGCCCATGGTGACAGTCGATAGGAAACCGTTGGTTACACCGATGACGAGGTTCAGAACAATGTTGTAGGCGATAGCTCCCATGTCGTCGTGGCCGAAGGAGTAAAGTGACGTACCGGCGACACCCATAAGCAGCAGCGGAATGAAACCCAGTCGAAGGACGGAGAGACCCAGGCACCAGTTGCTGGTCAGAATTCTGTACACTGCAGCGCTTGTCATTACGCGACCGAAGAAGTCGCCGTAGTTGTAGCTACCGGCAATACCCGGGAAGCAGTACCAGTTCTTAGTGACCGAGTGGTTGACGTCAGCGTAGGGCGGCGTGAGGTTGCGGTTGGCTGCACATCCGAAACCAGGGTACACCGATAGAGAGACGAAGAAGACGAGGAATTGCGCCAGCGCGGGTACCCAAATGATGCAGAAGATGCGCCATAGGTTACTGCATGTCTTGTTGAATGGCAATGTGGCCAAGCTCTCGGCCTTCATGGACTCTTCGTTACGTGTACGAGGGATTTGACACACGGGAGGTTGTTGAGGTGGCGGTACACGAAGAGAGCCACGATCAGAACGACGATGAGGAGACCAAAGAAGAGGTAGAAGCTGAGCTTGGTAGAGTCTCCCGTCTGGTGAACTCCGCCTACTGCAAGACGCAGAATAGTAAGCAACGAAACGTTGATAGCGCCAGCCGTGCCGTTGCCGATTTGGACGGCTTGCGAGAACTTGGGGACCGGAAACAGAGCCGCAAACGTGTAGTAGGTTGCCTCAGTCAAAGAGTTGCCAAACCCGATACAACCGAAGCACACGAGCACGAGGATAGCGCCCGTCTTCTCGTTGGAGAAGTCGATTGCACTGAAAACCATGATGAGAATGGCCATCAGCATGAAAATCCCGTAGCCCACGAGCACCCGAAAGTCACGCGTGATCGACTTGTCGAATCCAAAGAACATCTGAAGAGCTTGACCAATGACCATGGGCCACGCTGTGCAGAGCGTCGTTAGGAACGAAAAGTCCAGACCAGAGTCGGCGAACTGGGTAGGAGAGAATGCGTCCTAAGACACGTCCTAAAGTGTCCTATTGTCCTAAAACCTGGGATAAAAAACTAGCAATCGGTTCATAAACGATCCAATATTTAGGACACCACAATGTGCTTTAGGACGAAACAAGCCAGGCTCCGTGTGTCCTAATAGGACACTCAACAACTCGACACTTATTATGTCCTATTAGGACACACAGCAACTCAGACTACTGTCCTATTAGGACAACATCAAACCCAACATGCACTGTCCTATTAGGACAACGTTACTAGTTTTCTACTGTCTTATCAATATAATTCAATTATTCATCTATAATTCACAAGAGCAATTACACATGGGAATATTGTATTAGTAGGTTCTATCTGCATCTACTCAAACCTTTTGTAGTCTTCAGGAATCTCCAGTGTCGCTGGTGGGGCATGCTGAGGGGCTTTCTGGCGGAGGTGTTTGATATCCTCAATACGCTGGATATAGCGTGCAGCCTCACGCTTGGTGCCTTCAATAAAGGCTAAAAGGCCAGGATGTACACCCATTCGGGACACAAAGTCACGATTGTACTTCTCCAATGGATTGTTGGTACGGTTGATCACATCAACCCCAACACGCATCATCTCCTGAACATTCCACGTCGTAACGTCATACCTTTCCATCCAAGTCTTCAAAAAATACTTCCAGAATGCATTCCACTTTGTCTTTGCTCCAGTTTCGTCGACAATACTGCGAACGTATCTAACACCCTAATAAAGTGAAAAAAAGTGAGATCCAAAAAATATTAGCATAAAAAAGGTCAGATTCAAGTTGTAAATAGGTATGATCAAAATAAAATAGTCCTTTCCTTTTTTGAGATTTGGTCCACAGGGATGACAGCAAGCGTGTCAAGTTTTCCGGGACTGAGCGCGCTCTTTATTTGGCAGTCTGGAATGCGTAGATCGACCATTTTTCGGCGTAGTGCCTTTGCGGAACCGCTTGCAGACGTAGTAAACCGTGCTTGTTTCAGGACACGAGCGCTTGATGCAGAAGGAGTAGCCGCGATGGTCCATGGTGCTTAGCTGCCGTGGTGGAGATTGATAAATGGTTGGTAGTGTGCCTTAGGGCAGTAAGTAGCGCTAATGTGTGTATTAAGTAACGCTTATGTAATTTTAAGTAGAAGGTCCAGAAGAAAGTTAATATTTGAGTTTTAGGACAATATGGAGGACACAAATTATAATATTCTGTAGCGAAGGATTAGTCGCTTTTTAGGACACATCTTCAAAATCTCCCTGTAAAATTTAGGACAAATAGGACACTTTAGGACGTGTCTTAGGACGCATTATCCTACACCGGCGAACTGCACCGTGTAGAAGTCTTGTGCACTCAGACACGAGTAGTAGGCCCAGAGAACGGAAGCGTTAAGGAACATGAACATGTAGAAGATCTTGTGCTCGTTCTTGACCATGTCGTCCCAGATCTCCTGCGGCATGCCATCGTGTCCGATCTCGAGACCGTCATCTTCTTGGATGTCTGGGAGCAGCTTGTCGGTCTTGCCCGGTGAATGCATGGATGCTGGGTGTAGCTGTTGGAGGTTGCAATGGTGGAGTCGAATTACACGGATTTCAACTTAATTGATGTCAGGTAAATTGCAGAATGGACGTTGGTGATCCGCCGCGCCGCGCGCGCAGCTGTAGAACTCTGGCAGGTACATGGCCCGACTACCAATAGATTCCCATCGACTTGCCACTTTGGTGGTTGAGCTCGAAGGTTTGTCTATTGAGTTGATTTGCGACCCAAAAGCGCATGACTATAAATAACATGCAGCATTCTTTGACAAAAAATTATTGCAATGCCATCGAAATGACCCATTTGATCTACTGCTTTTTCGTTTTGAATCAGTGTTTTACTTCATTTAACCTACTTTTTAAGGTCGCTGTGGACGTCCCAGTTTTCAGGCCTTCTGGTAGAAAGGGTCAAATTGTATAGAATTATACAGGATGATGAATGCAAATTTGCGTAGAAGGAGCAATTTGAACTTCAATCGTCGTACCAGGCACAGGCGCCTCGCTCATGCTCAGTGAGCAGCTCACTGAACATTGCTCAGCACTTCCACCAGCATATTGCTCCACATCACGATGTCACATTACACTTGCCTTCGCTAAGTGCATTACAGGCTGCAGAACTCACGCGCGAGCAAAACTGCAACTAGATCGTCACAAAGTATGTGAGCTTTACTAAGAAACGGCATTCAACAAGGGCAACGCATACAGACCGAGTTATCCCTGGTCACTGAGGAAAAACCCAATCCTTGAGCCGGCGGCCAAATACCGCGAGTCAGGTGGTGCTGTGAAGGTGTTTTGCCTGTTCTTTCGTATTGCCACTGCCGATCGAGTCCTCCAGGTCGATCCCGCGGCACTACGCCGCAGCGCCCATGGTGACAGTCGATAGGAAACTGCTCGTGGTGTTGTAGGCGATGAACACCAGTGAAATTAAGGCCAGACGCCGAATAGACAAGCCTAGACACGTACACGATGGTACGTCGAGCCCGATAAATGTATTAATTGACAATTATTTCTTTTTGTTTCCCTCAATATTTTATTTATGGATTCTTTTCAAACAAAATATGTATTTACGGATTTGGTGTACCTGCACAAAAAACAATATTTACGACAGTCACCAGTTTGCAGCGCATATTCTACTTCATTCTGCAATTTGCGTCAATAACGACAAAGCCTACTCCCTCCTTTCAACCATGTCGCAGCCTACGAAGAGCAAGTTCACGCCGAAGCAAGTAGCTTCGCTCTAACTAAAGTCTTTTCTGATAGAGCAAGGCGACCCAGCGGGTCTGCTACTGCAGAAATACAAGATTCCTGTACTTTTATAAGTAATATATTGAGTTTCGCGTCAATTCGTAAGCGCTATCCACTTACATTTTATCAAAAAGAAATATTCTTACTCGTATTTTGACATAGGCTCACTAAACAACGCCTTGCCATCCCGAGTTTCCAACAAATCGTAAGTGGAATCGTCCTACGATAACACGCTGTTCCAATTGGCCAAAATTGATCTAAAACTACCCAGAAGCCACTGTAAAATGAGTGAAGGAAGCGCGCAACAGACCAGCGAAAGCGCGGCCTGCGGGATGGCTGTAGCTGACGTGGAGGCAATCCGAGATGCCTGCGTTACCAAGGAAACACGAGGGAAGTACAGGAGTAGCTTGAACGGCATTGCAAAGTGGATTCGCAAAGAGCTTGCTAAAGTCGACCACAACACGGATCGATTCTTTGACAGCAGTGGTGAACTTAATCTAATGGAGTTCACGCCTCCGTATTTTGAGCAGTTTCTTGTTTACAAAAGCCGTGATGTGAAAGCTGGGACACTAAGTGGTTATCGGAGTGCAATTAAGGACCTGTATAGAGTGAGGCGTCTAGCTTTGCCGCCTGAATATGGAGATGGAATGAAACAGCTTTTCTCGGGAATGAAGCGCATGGAGGCTGATAGTGACCAGATTAGTAACCCGAAGACGTCCGGGAAGCAGCCATTGACCTACTCGCTTTACCAGAAACTCTGTAAAGAAACTTTGGAACTTGGTGATGGAAGTTTTTCTCATCTCTTCCTAACATCCCAATGGAATTTAATGTGTAGATCAATATCTGTTCAAACCGTACAAACTCAGCATTTTGTGGCTAAAGACGATGGCATTGATATAATATTTGTCAAGACAAAAACGAATCAGGAAGGCACTGGGCCGCGTGATCCTCGTCACGCTTACGCGAATCCGCTAAGTCCTTCTACGTGTTGGGTGACAGCGCGCGCAATTTACTTGGCGTGCCACCCGAGATTGCAACAGGGGCCACTATTCCCAGGGTCCAACCAGAAGCTTCGATTTAGTAAGGCTTTGGGTAGTCTTCTAAAACTCGATGGCTCCGCAAAAACATATGGTACTCACTCGGTACGAAAAGGTGTCGCGACATTTGCGTGCGGTGGAAGTACTGGGGCTCCTTCAATTGTGAGTGTTTGTTTACGCTGTGGTTGGTCACTTGGTGGAGTTCAGGATCGCTATTTCCGCTACGAAGCAGCAGGAGACCAATTTTTAGGTCGCGTCGTTGCTGGGCTGCCTATAAACGATTCCAAATTCGCTACACTACCGCCACATTTTAAGGCCACCGGTGATAGCACAACAACATCAGTGTTGAGAGCGGTTTTTCCGAGTCTTGCGGATGAACCTAATTTAAATGGCATTTTACAGTTATGTCTGGCGTCGCTGATTTTTCACAGGAAATATTTACAGCAGAATATACTAACAAACCACCCTCTGCTCTCGACAATAGTATTTACGAATGTGAACGTTTTTCACAGCCTACAAGACAACTTCAACTTGGGGATTCGAGCTGGATGCACCCGACAGGTATTCCGCCCTACATTGAGCTCTACAAAAAACCTGATAAGCAGCAGCAGTCTATCGACTTACTTCCTGATAAACTTGAGCAAAGAATGAAAGCGATATTGGAAAAGAAAGGTGTGGCAGCGGGTAATATAACGAAGGACCTTTTGCATGAAGAAATAAGAGCGTTATTAGAAGAGATTGGGCTTCAAAAAGAGAAATCAGCGGCCTTATCAACTTTATCGACAGCACAAACTCGCTATTATCATACATGGGGTGGGAAATTTCACGTGCTTCCAAAAGACTTCGCCTTTCCAAGTATCGATCCGCTGGGGGCGTGGATACTGTGGTGGTTCGGCAATCCGGAGCTTAACTATCCACCATACAAGGGTATACCATCGGACGATCTGGACACGCCACAAAAGAAAGCAACACTGTCAGAGTGGTCAGTTATGATGCGGCATATCATAAGCGGGATTGAAAAAGACCTCGGAAAACCGATGCCGGCCATCCGTGACGAAGTTCATGCCATCGAGCTGTTTAAGATTGGGTACAACAC